CCCACGGACGTAGAGCATGTCAAATGAGTCGTACGCGGTTTCCTCGAAGGCCATTTCCGTAACGAGTCGGGGCATTACAAACTATTTACTCCAGTTCAAAATATTTGTTTTCGGCGTGGATTCCTGCTGCGCTGTCGACAAGACAGGTGTCACATGAAATTGGCTATTCACCCCTGCTGGATTTATGGGCATGATCCATACCCAATGAGATGGAGGGAGGTGGCTTGAGGGATACCACCGCAGTAGCGTCGTCCGTGACGGGTTCAGCAGAGGCTGGACCAGTGGCAGACACCCTGTCAGTACATATTTCGGCAAGGAAAAGTAATATGCGGATATTGTATGGGGAACTCTTGTTTTCATGATCGATCGTCCGATGCAGATTGCTCGTCGGCTGTTTCGCCCCTTCTGGCAAGGGATTTCAAAAGAGTGTGAGCTATTGTATCAGCCGCCTGCTGAGTTACACAACATGTCGTCTACGAAACCTGCCTACGTACATTGGCTTTCACGCGTACAAGAATGTCTCGCGTGTCGCGTGAAGTCACCTGACGGTATTCTCCGTTGCGCCGCTGTTGATATTTAGCCACGTGAGCGAGAAAATCCCCGAGCACGAAAAGCCACTACCCGCTACCATCGTGTCCACCATGTCACAGTCGTCCACGACCGCAGCGTTCGCCACAGTTACTGACGTCAAGTCGACGTTTCCAATGTTGGCCACCTGGTCGAAAAGCGTCATCTCGTCACGATTTGCGCTGGGGCTAGATTGTCCTTGTCGCAGAGAAGAAAAAACGCCGCGGCCACTCTTCTTTCTTTCGAAGCGTTGTACGACAAGAATGCATCAGGCAGTTCGAGGAACCTAGCTACAACACGACGAGCTTGTACGACTCGGTGAGGCAAATGGAACCAGGAGAAAGGAACTTGCGACAAGGCGGATGTGCACAATACAGAGGGCCAGTGGCAAAACAGAGGGCCAGTGGCATCAAACGCGCTCAAGAAATGTTTTGCAGGCCAACGGTCTGCCGATCTCTGGCGAAACATTCATGCCGACGTCAGCAAGGTCCAAAGGGCATCAATGTGCCACCTGACACGACATTTACTGGTTCACTCGTTGCAAATTCCTAGTCTTTGGTGCACCTGGAATGTGTACGTGACCGTTTCAAGCTTGTCCGCGTAGCCAACCATACCGTCGACTGTTCCATCCGTCCAGACACCGGTGCTGGCTGCGGCGGGAAGACATCGAATATTCGACGGGGAGAGGAACAGTCTCATGACCGAAAAGGCGTGTAGTTCGCATGTGCGGCGATTTTTCTACACATGCTAAGTTGTTCTGACTTCACTCGGCAAGGAAACGTTGGTGGACAAGCTACACTCAGAGGATCAAGCTTGGGATCAAACAGTCGAGTCGACGATTGGTCCCGAAAGCTCCTGTCTTCGGACTCACGACGTGCATCGCCATCCCACGCAAACTCATCCACCAAGGGGTCACCCATCCAATGTGCTCGGGCAACATATGGAATCACTCCTGAAATGACTTGTGTCTACTCGCGATGTCAACGTACTCGTGTACTTTGCTTGTGCACGATCTCGGGCATACAACAACGAAGCAGTTGCCAATCGTATCTCACCTATCTCGATGAGTGGGTTTTGCGCCAGCGGTTGTGGCCACGTGCTACTTTGGTCGTCGGGTGTTCCAACCGCGGCCGTGGATGTGACCGACGCGGTGTTGGAGACGGTCCCAGCATTGATATCCGCTTGTGTGATCTGCGATTGGGGAAGTGCAGATGGGCGTGACAGGACATCAACAAGGGCAAGTCGAAGGAATATGTGAGAGACTTGTAGGCCCTTCAAGTTTTGTGTACGACACACTGCTCGGTGTGATTCGTGACAAAGCTTCTGCAGCACCCCTTGGGGCGATGGACGGACTCACGACACGCTGCAGAATTTCTGCACCATTGCATCGTCGGCGTTCCTTGGTTCGGTCACCGGCATATCGAAACGCGCACCGATCACTCCATTGGGACGTTCCGCCAAAAATGACTTTTGCTTCATCGTGCCGCAGCCAGAACACAAGACAAGGAGCTTACCGACAAGCGTACATGGGCCCTGTACGTATCAGCGCACGCCTGAAATGTTTCGTGAGTCAGCCGAGAGCTGGCTAGGCTGCGCACATGAATCAACCGTGCACATTGCATTCAGACACGCGTCCGCACACACCTGTCGAGACGCCGTGCAGGTGACCGAATCTCCTACACCCAAGGATGTCAAAGGCTGGCTGACAGCACCGCAGTTGACGTGGCCGCTCGTGTCGGTCACCTTAACGGTCTTCAACGTCACCGTGCCGGTATTGCTCACCGTAATCACATAATCTACTGTCTCGCCGGCATTCGGCCAGCCACTCGAATCAGAGTCCGACCATTCTCCTGTTTCATCTGCAACAACCAACATCAACAGTGACGAAATTGGCTGGTCAGCCCTACACAATCCGATCGTTCTCCACATGGGTATATCCGAAAGCCGGTTCCGTTTCAGCGAGCCAAGCGCGCCCTGCCTCAGACGACCACATGCCGAAGATGTTTCAGCCGTACATCTCTCAACGCGGTGTATACAACCGACAACGAGCACTGACCAATTTGAACCAAAGCCCGAGTGTTCAGCGACACTGGCACATCGACCACATTGCGTATGGTAGACGCATTCTTCGGATCAGCTGTCACCATCGCGGCGCACTTGGCCTGTCCGAGGTCAATGTAGTCCTGGTCAACCTGTCGTCATGTACAACGCAACGGACGACCATGCAGACAATAGGAACCCCGTCGGACGTTTCCCACGGGAAGTTCACGGCGAGCAGCCTCACTCTGTAGGTGGGTGTCCTGACCTTTCGATGCAACGACAGCGGGCGCTGGTGCGCAGCACGGCTCACGCCCCTGTCAGGCCAAGCAGGGTGCTCATGTTTCGTCTCGTCCTGTCATGCTAGCTACTGTAGCGGCCAACACAATCACGTCGACGTCAATCTGTCCAATTGAACATCATGTGCTCGCACCACCCAATGCACGCATCACCAATGAACAGCCTACCCACAAGGTCTGTCGTTTGCTTTCCTCTCTGCCACTGGGGAGGGACGCAGTGTGATACATTACAGTCATGGCCAGTGCAGCGCCGTCTGCTAAGCCATACCATACGTGTATCCACTCTACCTCGTAGGTCGTCGAACAAGAGAATCCACCCCCCGGAGAAACATCCGCAGCTCCGCATTCAATGCAGACATTGTCATTGCCAACGTTGTCGTCAGTCAAGCAGAAATTTCCCAGCGTCTGCGTCCCCGAGTTCCCGATCTCGTAGGTGCAGGCGATGGACTCGCCGACATTTGTCAAGTGGTTGGTCTCGGCACCGTCCACCCAGGTCCCAGACGCACCTGTTTCGAAGTCAACAGAAACGCGTTGAGGGCCACGATGAATTTGCACACTACCGCTCGGAATGCTCTTCGACGAACCGCAGTCGTCCGTCGTCGTGCCCCCTGCAAACACCTACTAGCACAGCACACAAGCACACCACGCTCACCGATCGTCATCTCCGCACTGCCGAGAATAGCAAGGGTATTCTCCGGGGCTTACGGATGGAGGTAACCCATCGGGGCTCGTGAACGTTACGCGAGCTGTGTTGGTGCGCTCGCCGCTGTCCACGTCGGCTTGGGTGACGGTGTACGTGCCGAAGCACACCACGGGTTGGTCTTGCGGGCACAACCCTGGATGGATGAGGTGGGACGAGATCGTCCATTGGGCAACGCCGTGAGGGAAAGGAACGAGCGAGCGAAACAATGGACGATTGTGACATCGCGCTACATTTCCTCACTACACACCTGCGACGACACGGTACGACAGTGCGAGACGAGACCCCTTTCACGCCCTACCACGCGATGTCCTTGACGCATACTCGGTGCTGAGATCAAAGCAACACCTGCGATGGACGGTGCCGTGGACCCCGGGCACTCGATCGAAGAGTCAACATCGTCGCTCACTACCACGTCGCGGAGACATGTGTTGCCCGTGTTGGTGACCTCCATCGTGTACTTGATCTCGTCTCCGACACCAGCCACCAGGTCGACTCCTTTCGACAGGGTCGCACTCAGCCCTGATTGCAGATATTTGCCAAGGAACAGCGACGCACCGAGCAGCCAGCGTACGACGGCAGAAAGGCGTGTGGTGGGTTAGGGTGCAGGCCAACATCGCCCCATGTATGCACGAGAAGCCTCACACAAACAGGACGTACGAATTGACGCCAAGTCCTTCAGCGGGTGATACCATGACACTGGGCCTGGAATCTCTCCACCTCATTGACGGTCTCGCCCGCGTGCCACAATCGTCACAGCAAGAGCGTGAAGCGTGACTGCGTGTGTTCCGCGCGATACATCCGACCCAGCCTGAGATCCGCGTCGACCGGCGACACTCGCGGAGTGACTGCCACAGCCCCGACGCTCGATTGGCCCAGTACGACATGCGTGATGCCACACCTTGAACTACGTATTCCGAACTCCGAGGTAGTGCCCATGAAGCTAGCTAGACCATCTCAATCAACAGCCCTCACCGGTTTCCAACGCCGATGACTGTATCAGATTTTCCGACACCGATACGCCTTCCGAAATAGGCCCCAGAGGGCTTGTTGCTGATCTCACGGTAAGGATTGACGCACTTCCGGCATCCACATCGCTTTGTTGTACCTGCGCGGAAGCGAGGGGGCGTCGGGGTTTCATCTCACTTGATGGGTCCCCATCGCCACACCATTCTGCTACAGACACACCTTGGCGTCTGCATGCGTGCTCCGACAGAAGAGTGTCGTGGAACGTGCCCGTGCCAGAGGCAGCTCTCCGATATCATCATGCCCTGGCTACATTACGTACGAAGTGCGTGTCTCGATGAAAGCCGTGGTATGCGTCGGGGCCACCAAGGTGACAACCGTGGCTCACACAGGCGTGACGGCATGCCATGAATGCGACTGTAAGGTTGACGGTTTCATCAGCGCACCTCATAGACGGCTTGACAGCTCACTACGCCGTTCGGCCCAAGCTCACAGGTTGTCGAGGCTAGGGTCGCACTGCAGCGCCGCGGCAGAGTTTCCGCTGGTACCGTTGGGACAAAAGACATCACGGGTCAGCATCGATCTATCAAGACATTGCACTCCAAGTTCATCCGGGATAGTCGTCCACACAAGCTGTGGTGAAATCAAGCAACCAAACCGACACTCTACGTGTCCCGCACCTTTGAACCTGAGCCACCAAGTCAGCGCTGGAGACATCAATTGATGTCAGGGTGGTTGTACCAGTGTTGCTGAGGTCGATCGTGTACGCGATATGGTCACCGGCGGAGTGGCCGGTGTCGCCCGTGTCTGGCATCGTGCACGCAGCCGTGGCGGATAGAATCCCGGTTCTGTGTAGAGTCTCGGTCACCGTGGAGGAGTTTACGATGAACCCTCCAGACGCCGGTTCACCTCTCAGGCTGCGAGGGTGCAAGAATGGATGATTGGAAGATCCGAGGAAAGCAAAGAAACGATACGTCAGTCCGAACTCGGTCGCATACACCTCGGTAGACATGAACCGTCTTCGTTCTATCTGACATGACAATCCCTAGCCTCCTCCACGAGCGCACTCACCTCGTAGTACTGCTGACGGAGCCAACGTCGATGTCGGCTTGGCTCAGCGTGTACGTGGCGGTACACACGAATGACGTGTCGACCAGCCAGGGGCTGGGAATGTCGCCGCCGCAGTCAAGGTTGTAGCCACCTGGCAAGGGAATGGCGGCACGGTGGTCATTGGTTGTACCAGGGACCATCACTCGGGGACAGCGAGAATCACCTACGCTACACGAACGGATGTGAAGCTCTTGGAAGTTTTCCTTGGCATGGCTCACGAACGACCCTCGAAACACTCACCGGCATCGTTCTTGAACAGCTCGTTGGACACCACGGTATTGTCAATGTCCACGTTCCCGCCATTGGTCATAGCGACTTCAAACTCGATGGATTCTCCCACTCCAGCCAGGGCCGTGTCAAGGTCGATGGCAACATAGGTCAACCGACTGACCATGTCAATATCGGCCACCTAATGGACCCCACGATCACACCACACGGTT